AATAAGCTGTTGAATTTTCTCAGCTCAAATAATTTTCTCTTTTATCTTAATAGTTTTTATCCTGATCTTTCCATTTAATTTCTTCCCTTTCCGTTGCACTTTCCATTTCTTACCGAAATATGTTTTAGAAAAACAACACTTGATTTGACAAGGGGAGGGCTGGGTTGTAGAGTTGAAAACTTTTGAACTAACAAAGCAAATGACAAATGAATTTCTATGGCATGACTTTACAGTTACTTTACATAATATTGTTATCGATCTTATGCAATAAATTGGCCAAAATATTATAAAAGTAATGAAAAAGTTTTAAAGAATCAAGACTTTAGAGAAAACCAAAAGAGTATAGCTATTTATTTTACTAAATTATTCAATTATCATTTTAGCCAAACAAATATTTATTTATTATCTGGAGCAATTTTTTACTTAATACTTTTCAAATCAAAATTCAAGGTTTATTTATTCATTTACTTGTATCCCCGCCGCCCCCCTTTTTTTAATCTAAAACGTTTCTAAATTTTCAATTTTTTGTTACAAAATTGTAAATTTGAATTTTAAATTGTAACTATATATTTTTCTAAATTTATTGATCTATTTTTTAGGATAAATCCTTTACTGGGTGAGTAAGCTTTTATTTTGTTTGTTCGGCGTTTCGTCGGTGCGGAGATAAGACTGACCGAAGCATTGAGGCCTTTAAGGCCATTATTGGGGTTCGGTGAAAGGACACGTACCTATCTCGTGCTATAAAGAAAAACCTGTAACACTAGCACATTTTATTTTATTTGAAAAGTCTTTGTTAACAAATCATAAAACCGTCTGCTTCCCCTATGACTGTAGAGTAATAATTTCACGAATATCTCTTATGAGGCTTGTGGTCTCATCTCAATCCTCATCCACACAGACGAACGTCATCCCTTTACCCTGCATCAGATGTTAAGATTTTGGGTCTGACCTTTCTCAGCAACGGTAGAAATTTCTTAATTAGGTGCATGTAATGAACACAATTTATAAGTAGGCATACATTTTCAACCCAGTGAACTTCATGAATGAAACTTTGAGGAAAACTTGAAGAATTTGAACCTTCATAGAACTTTTTTATTAATACCATGAATGAAACTTTGAGGAGTATATATCACACGGCATATATTCACATATAAGAAAATCATTTGT